GGCAGCACGGCGGTGGGTGGCGGTTGAGGGGACTGCGGGCGGTGAGGCGGTTGCAGGAGCGCTGCCGGTCGGGGGCGGCGGCAGCACGGCAGTGGGTGGCGGTTTGAGAGGAGTGCGGGAGGCGAGGTGGTTGCAGGAGCGCTGCCGGCCGTGGGCAGTGGAAGCAAGCGGTTCGGCCGGCGGTGGTGGGTGAGGTTCAGATCTAGGTCATGAGGAGGAAGACGATGGACAGTGTTTTTAGAGATAGAAGAAGAAGATCCGGTGGTTGCTTTTCCATCCAACGGCTGGGAACAAATCGATTGACTCAGATTCTAAATTTAGTCGACTGTCCCGAGTCATTCCCCTTCACTAATCTATCATGAATTTCCGCTAACCAAACAAGGTAATATAATGGTATATTAAATTCTCAAAAATAATACCCATTCGATGTCAAACAGAGGACTGAGACTAAAATGTCCTGTCTATCTCACCATAACTCCCTCCTCTTAACTCATACTACACATGCAATGTGGTTATTATACAAAATCTCATGGGTAGATTTGGTGTTCATTGATTATTTGCAGGATCTGGGTCAGGCGGTCAAGGAAAACCGGGAGAAGACTTCACAAGGTCAAATTTCATCTCAGGTAGTAGTGTATTATAATATCATAATTGTAGTTAAAAAGGTGTCCAAAGACCAAAGTCAACATACCATAGTTTTGCGAGTTTTGCTTCGGTACACCCCCTTAGAAGTTTGCATGAATGTTAAAGTTACTTAAAAAGCCATCGTCATATCAGCCCGTGGATCAAACGTATTGAATAGATTGATTTGGAGACAAAAGACTATACTCTCTCCGTTAGAATATAAGGTGCATCATTTTTGTGCAAGTCAAATTTATGTATGTTTGACCAAGGTTATAAAATAAGTCTACATGACAAAATAAGTAAAATATGAAAAAAAATCATGCTGGATTTAATGATACATTTGGTATTGTAGATATTGATGTTTTTTCTAAAAACTTGGTCAAAGTTGCACATGATTGACTTTTGAAAAAACTAATACACCTTATATTTTGGAACCAAGGAAGTATTATGTTTTTTTATTGAAGGGGTACCTTCTAAAAATCCGTAAACTTGCATCTTTTGCCTTTCCTTTATTGCTGTTGCTTGTCTGAGGGGATTGTCTAATAGTTCTATTTTTTCCCCAAAAAGGAAAAAAGTTAGTTCTATTCTAAACTCTTTTCGTGTACCAATTTTATCCAACGTGGCACACGCTCCCTCTATCTCTCACCCCAGCACTACATCTATACAGCTATCATTTCACCTATGTTTGTTCTCCAGGATACGAACTTTCTGAACCATGCTCAAAGAGGTAGTTTTGCAGACGAAGATATAAAAATTCTTCTTAAATGTGCAAGGCAGTTGAATCCGATGGTAAGCCATATATGTTATTTTTGCATATACAGTATAATTCCGTACTGGAGTTCCTTACAATCGCAGGGCAACACAACTATTCATATTACGCTAGAATCCAAACCTTTGTGAAATTTGATTGTCTATGACTATAATTGTGATACTGATATCTAGTGTGTTTGATTTTGACATCTTCCACTTCTATCTTCTGCCGGATAACAAGCTTGATTATGTTGATACTTCGTGCTGTTCTCGTAATCTTATCTGTGGAGAGAGCTATTACCGTGTGGTAAGCTAGACTTGTGCCACCTTTTCACACATTGCTATATTTTTTCCCTCTTACGTAATAAATCAAGTATGATGGATGTTTTTGTATTACTGGTTTGCCTGGCTCTCCTAGGGTGCCGCGTTAAGTAATCCTGAGGGGTGGACATGTTTCGTTAATTGCATTCTCCAGTGTGTGGTTCACACTGTTCCTCTGGTGTTGAAGCTTCAGAAAGATGATCACACAGATGCATGTCCCGGTAAGGAATTTAGTCTAGTTCACTTCTGTTCTTCAACTGTCTTCCTGTTGAGTATCTATTCTATCGACTGCCGTGTTTCAACTAAGATTTTAATATTTTGCTAGGTGCCTCTGGCAAATTCTGCTGTTACTGCTCCCTAAAATTCCATGCTGATGAAGTTATCAGTCTCTCTGGGGCTGTTCTTTACCCAAAGAAGTTTGTCGAACACCTGAAATGTAGGTGCTTATATTATCAGAAATTTCTTTTGTTGTAGTGCTCGTCTTGTTTAACTATGTTCTATGCATTTACACCTTCAGTGTTTTAGCTGTCATATTCTCGTTATTAGAGAACTGCGACATTTGGAAGTACATCATTGCAATTATGCGCTGAACTCTGTTGTTCAAAAAACTGTTGCAGTATTTTCAGAAAATTTCCGGTGGGGAAGGCACCAAGACGCCCATGAATTCCTCCGCTGCTTGCTTGATAAATTAGATGAGGCCTCTGTCCCTCCCAGGTCCCCATCATCTGAGAGACCCTCTTCAATTGTCACACAGGTTTTTGGAGGACAGCTAAAAAGCCAGGTGTGCCTGTTGATCCTCACTACAACTTGATCAATATCATTCAGACTTACTCGTGATACTTAGTATTTTTATTTTTTTTTGCTTGTGCAGTTGCATTGCCCAGAGTGCAACTATTGCTCAGACAGATTGGAGCCTTTCCTTGACCTTAACTTGGAGGTCATCCCGATGGCCACTGTCATGGATGCACTAAAATCTTTTACCAAGATTGAGGTGTTTGAGAATTACGGTTGTGATGGGTGCAAATCTCGTGTGAACCTGGAAAAACAATTAAAGGTGGAGCAGGCTCCAGAAGTTCTTGTAATCCAGCTCAAGCGGTTTCAAAATTTTGGAAGTCATATAACTAAGATTGAAGACTGCATGATGTATCAGGAAGAGCTGGACTTAAACCCATTCATGAGCTCCCCGGATAATGTGAGTTCATTTTCTTTTTTTTAATCAAATTCCGCATGCACCCAAATATATGGCTGATGCACACTATGTGGCTGCAGAAACCTCAGAAATATGATTTGTATGGAGTTGTACAACACGAGGGTGCTCCATCAAATGGTCACTATGTTTGTTATATCCGTTCGTCACGAACTAATTGGTTTCACTTCAATGATTCTAAGGTAATATGTTTACAGTTATTACTCCCTCCGATCCAAAATAAGTGCCGTGGTTTTAGTTCAAATTGTATCTCTCGTTCAGTTGCATGGTTCTAAACTTCTACAGTGCAGGTTATGAAAATCAATGATGTCATGGCTTTGGAGAGTGAAGCATACCTTCTATTCTATGCAAAGCAAGGTTCATCCCCGTGGTTCTCTACCTTACTTAAGAGAAAAAACAACGTTTCCGGTGACACTGAGGAGGGTGGTTACAGTAGCAGTAGCAGTGAAGATGACTATTATCCTGAAGGCCTGTCTTGGCATAGTAAGTGTGATATTTTTTTTATTAAAATAAAAAAATGAATTTACTATCTATGACAGCTGGTAGTGGTAACATGATATCTATTGACAGACACTTTTGTTATTATTTGTACTCGGTTTATATTTTTACCTGTACTGTTAGTCAGTCAGCCGTGAGATGTTTTTGTCCCGTTTGCAGATGATGGCGACAAAACCAGATCGGCGACGAAAGAAGAAACAGATCTGCAGCTTAGACAAATAATATCTATGCAAAAAGAGAAGTGCGGCGAGAGAGAGATTGAAGAAAAAGCGAAGGCAGAAGGAGACAGCAGCATCCAAACTACTTGTCCTGAAAGCTTGTCTTGGCGTAGTGAGTGTTATCCTTTTAAGTTTTAATGAAAAATCAAACTGAAAATTTCCTTGCACGAGTAGCGTACATCACATTGCTAGTGTCTGTAAGGTTCTATGTGCATCGTATGGGTCTCCTCTCCTAGGTTGTGTTGGTGGCTGGTGTTTTACATGGCGTATCTTCTTGTTTTATAGAGGATGCTGATGTCAAGGGCTCTGATGATTCTCCAGCTGGACCATTGCTCGGACCAGCAGGCTCTCACTCTGACAACATTGCTAAGGGCAAGCGCACTTATAAGGCTATTGTTCAAGAGGAAACGACGCCAGACGAGCTTTTGCAGCATTTGAAAGAGATGGTGCCTAGCATATTTGCCAAAGCTTTGGAAGGCATGCATACGTCTCTTGCACTTTCAGAGGCTTTGAAGAGAGAGCATGTTGTGGAAATGCATAATGGTAAGTTAACTTTATGGATCGTTGCAGAATTTACTTGAAACTTAGCATGCGAGTTAAGTTTTTTTTCGAAAAGGGGGCTTACCCTAGCCTCTGCATCAGAACGATTCATACGGCCATAGTATGCGAGTTAAGTGGTAAGTATGCATTGTTATATTAATACACATAAGTGCATGCAGGTAGGTGGTGCTAGCTGCATGTTCACCTGTAGAAGAGTTGTGTAGAACTTCACTTTTGTTGTAGAGTTGGTTGTAAACATCGTGCTAGAGAATATCATCAAGATGGACTAGAGTAGGATCAGTGGTGTAGTTAGTAATCACGTCAGATCGACAATCTGCAAGGTAGGATGTATTGACACTGGGAGCCGTACTTGAACCA